TAATATGGGGGGCTAAATTCAAGTGTTTGTCTCCAGACCACAGTGCATGACCTGAGCCTCGAGAGGGGGAGAACCTGCATGCTCTGAATGAACTGGTCGACCCAAAAAGCAAACTCTGATTCACTCATGGGACGCGCGAGAGATCCCCACAAAATCCCCACGCCAAAAGGCACCGTGGACTCTGAGCCACAAACACTATCGAGGACAGCATGGTGGCCTGGTTAGAAAGTCTGTATTTGTAGTGTGTGACTGATTATTAAGAATCTGCACATAATTGTATGTACCGTATTTGGCAGACTATACGGCGCACTTAAAATCCTTTAATTTAGTCAAAAATCGACAGTGCACCTCATTTATGAATTCTGGTCGTGCTTACAGACCTCAAAGCGATTTTATGTGGTACAAGCGCTCAAAAATCCGTCAAAAAATGTTTTAGTACGACTTTGGTAAGCTACATCGCTTGATGGATTGTTGGAGCATTACAGCTACTGTAGTCAGGAGCCTCACGACTCATAGTAATCTCAAACGAACACTGCAGCGTCACTGAGAGTTAAAAACTGTCCAAATTCTTTCATTTTAATACAATGATCAGTGTTGCTGCTTTACCAGGTGTAACAATTAAGTTTAACATTCAGGCATCTATGAAAACAGAGATTATTAAATTTAACAGAGTTAGAAGTTGGCAGGAAACATGACATAACCAGTGTTGGTCAAGTTACTTGAAAAAAGTAATCAGTAACTAATTACTGATTACTTCCCCCAAAAAGTAATCCCGTTACTTTACTGATTACTTATTTTCAAAAGTAATTAGTTACTTAGTTACATTTTTAAACATGACTTACAACCTGAAAGGTGATAAAGCAATAGATCTTTCAGCCCAATTCTACTTTTTCTGCATAATCCATCATACAAAATGTAATCAAATAAAAATCTTTAACTTTATGCATCAAGCAAACATTAAATTATATGCAACATTCTCTGACTGGAAGAAATTTGTTTAACATTTAAACCTATTTTCTGCACATTCCAGCACATAAAATAAAATAGTTTTTTGTGTTTACACTACTCTTTCAAATAGATGCAAGTAAAACACAGCAGAAAATAAATAAAATCAAAGACTCAGCGGTCCTGTTGCTCTATTTTCACCTGTATAGCAGGTGTGGGGCAGGCGGAGTGCCCTGGTGCAGGTGTGCCGCAGCGGTCAGTGGAAGGATATGGCAGTTTCTCTGTGAATTTCCCATTACGTGGTTGCGCACTCGGAGCTTGCTCGGAAGTTTAGGGTTTTTTTTCGCTGTAAAAAAAGTTTTCTTCCCACACACAACGGACACTAATGTTTTTGTCACTTTTTATGGAATCAAACTCAAAGTAAGGTCAGTACTTCCACGCTTTAAACGCTGCACGCTCATACTCTCTGCACTCGATATATTATCCATTGTTGATCTGCACACAGCTGTTGTCACGAACGTTGCGCTCGCTTACGTCACTGTCATGAGACACTTCGCAAAAAATCACGGTTTTAGTAACGCAGTAACGCAGCGTTCCTACGGGAAAGTAACAGTAATCTAATTACCGTTTTTGCAATAGTAATCCCTTACTTTACTCGTTACTTGAAAAAAGTAATCAGATAAAGTAATCCCATCTCTGCACCTGACAGTACAATAAGTGTCCCAACCAGACAATGATTTGGATACTATAGAGGACCTATTTAACTTAACTACAGTAAGGTCTACATACAGCCAGGATTTTAATTTAAGAGGCCCTATTATGCTTTTCCTTATTTTGGTAATATACGTACAGTACTGTTTCAGACATGTAGTGTTTCATATACGTAGGTCAGTATATATGCAGGTAATCCATGTAACTCAGTTCCTTATACTTTTGACTCAGTACAGTGTCAACAGAGGGGATTCCCTTATAGAGTCGCCTCAGTTATTTCTGATGTTTTGGTCATTAAATTCCCAAAATCATACCAAGCACATGGAATCCACAGTCTCAGCATCCCACAGCAGTTTGTGTCAGGTGACTTTCAGTGAAGGTTATGAAACAATGACAGTGTGATGATAACAAAGAGAAGCATGAGTCATTATCTCGTCGTTACTTGGACTTTATTGTTGATTTTAGCACTTCACACTACCGTTAGCCATCATCTCAAACTGTGTCACTACTGACTGGTTTTCCTCCTTTGGAGTAAACTACGAATCAGACAGCACATCTGAGCTGCTGTCACACAGTCTGAAACACATTCAGATACAGGAAAGTATGACAGCAACAACACGCTCAAAGCTGAACATCATTTGCATATTAAGAATTTTACTGCTAGAAAAAAATAGTGCAAAGCTGAACATAGTGAATTTGCTTTATGTAGGATTTCCTTCAAAATATTTGTCTTTTGCCAAAGTACTGTTGACAAATTCAGTGCATGAATATGAATGACTTTCATGTTAGAACCTGTGAAATAAAGTGTGTGTGCCGTGTTCAGTCTGATACGTTTGACATGTATGAAACATCAGAATCTGTCTTCATTTAATTGATTTCCTCTAATGACTCTGTGTCTTTTATTGCTAGCATGTGTGCTCAGAGGTTTTCAAAGTGCATTATAAGCATGTCGTGGCTTTGTGTCCCTCGCTCTGCATTAGTAGAACATTAAAAGACCAACAAATATAAGTTTGTCATACTTTATCGGTGAAATAGTCTTGGAAAATATAAATAACATCTATAGCAGAAACAGTGTATCACTCTTGGTCTTGCAAGACAATTTTGTGTCCAGTTGTTAATTCTTGAACAATGTGCACCAATCTCTTACAAAAGATGTGGTTTGCTATGGTTCTCTAACCCAACCAGGTTACTAAAGTACTGAAAATGAGGAGACAACATTACAACAACTTGCCAAATAAGCTAGGTCCATCATGTGCAGCCAAGAAACCTGTGATCTGCCAAAGTTTAAGGGGTGGATTTTGGTACGACTTTTGAAGGTCTGTGTTTCCACAACCAAGACGTTGCTTCAGGCCGTCTACATCCTGTGGTTCTGAACTTCGGATGGACAAATGGCAGCAGCCGTTTACCAGAAGCACCCAGACTGCTCTTGGCGATGGTCTGACTCAGTCCTCGGGCCACGACCTCCCCTGTAAGCGTTGTTTGGTGTTTGCACCTGCACGTGTCCTTTGCTTCCAGCAAAATGATTGTGACAGCGGGGCATTCAGCATCCAGCAGATGTTATATCTGCAATATGCAGCAGCAGTTTTTCACAGTTACCTGCCTGCTATACCCAAGAGACGTGATGATTTATGGTGTCGGCCCTGTTATCACAGAATGGGCCACGTGACCAGTTAAAGTGGTGACAAACTGTTGGCTCTGTCTATCAAAACGAAAAGTAGTTATTGGGGCTAAAAAAGGATTTACAGCCTATTAAACGTGCAAGAGGGCTGATCCAGTTTCCAGCGAGTCCATCATCAGCTGGGCTGATTCATAACCAGAACGTCCCAAGTGTGAAGTCAGTGAATCAGTGCTGGCCTAGTGCTAAACAAAGTGAGGCTGAAGGGACTGTGGAGACATCAGCACATCACATTTTATATTGGTTTTATTATAATGTTCTTCTAATAAGGAACAAAAGCACAGACACCAACCTCCTGATCTGCGGAGCAGTGGTGGTAGAGGAACTTTGTCTCAGCTTTTTAGTAGAAGAGGGGGTGAGAGAAAGGTGGACTTTGGAGGGCTTCGGGGGAGGGAGGATGGAGCAGTGTGAAGTCTTGGACAGGTTTAACCTGACACAGAAAACAAGAACACATATTTGTGTGTGTGTGTGTGATCCAAGAGCAAATACTAACCTTGATCCTTCACAAAAACAAGCACAGCGAACAATTTCTCTAAAAATTCTTCTGATGATTTCTACGCTCACTGCAGGAATCAACATCTGCACATACACTCTGTACAAGAGACATAATACAAATACGCTTCGACGTGTTGGTAGTACCTCGATTTAACTCATGTGGAAGTAGCCCAGTTCTTGGTTGTGTCAGGTTAGCAGTTTAGTGATGTTAGTTTACAGGAGAAGCCGGAAGCACGTTGTGAGTTTGGTTCGTGGTCGTCCTTCACTTTTGTTTCTTTTTGCCGCAGCTCCCATATCCCCGATTTGTAACTATTTACTTTTTACAAAATGTTTCTTGAACTATGGCAGCATCTTATATATCTTCTATATTTGTGCCGTGGATTCAGGGACCAAAACAAAAACTGTAATGAGCAGAGGCATTATCTACTGATTGTGTGTCTGGCGGCAGCCAAGGATGGAGAGCAGAGGAAGCGGGCAGGCCAATCGAAACGCAGCTCAGGCCGCGGCTGCAGCAAAAACTTGGGCGTAGGAGGAGCGATTCTGGCAAACTGTCAGGAGGGGGAAGTGGTGCTCTACCAACACGGTGTACAGTAAAGATGGAGGCCTGCTGACTCCAACTAAGGACACTGTCAGGCAGTAAAAGGAATACTCTGACAACCTCCATAATCTTAATCTCACTCATAATTAACTAAAGTATCCAAAAGACAACAACTTCTCTTGTTGCATTTAGGTTCCAGTTTAACCAAAGAACAAAAAAGGATACATGAGCTCGAGCAGGTTATACACAACATTTACACTGCACAGATGAGAACACAGCATGATTTCATTCAGTCCAGTCTGTCTGTTAGACAGCGTGCAAACAAAGCGTGCGTTCTTTGTAGCATTCGACAACAGAGTCACTTATGTACTTGTTTTCTGACATCCACAAAAACATATTGGTGTCTATTATATCTCCTTGTTAATAGAAACTTTGTGTCCAGCGTTTGAGCTAATTCTCAACGTGTCTCTTGCACTGACCACAATAACCATTTATCATGAATTAAATTACAGCAATTGGTACCTTGAGCAGGATGACGCTGATCTCGGTGGGTGTTTCCCTACAGTGCTCTCAGTTTGTCTCCCTGTGTCAGACTGACTTCTTTGCAGTTATTCTGCACAGACACAATTAGCAGCATGAAAACACAACATTGTGATCGTAACTCAGTAGCCTGTTTGAATTCTGCAGTAACCATTAAGAAAAGGTGCTATGAAGTCACACCGCTGACCTCATCCAAGCTATATGACTTGCAGAGCACGGTGTTGATTGACAGGTCATCCATGCTGGAAAGCAGTGAGGACACTGCCTCCTGTTTGCCTCCCTGCACAGAGTCAGAGCGGTGAAGCTGCTGCTGCTGCCGACTCAGTCTCTGTTGGACCAGCTTCTGTTTAGACCGATGCACGTCACCCTGAACCCACAAACTGTGCTGCTTCCTGCACACAAACATCAAACACACGCCACAAACTGACTGTGATATCAGGTTTAGCAGGTACAACATTCAACATCCTGGTTTAGCATGTAAGTAGACACACAAAGCTAGTAGCCATTAGCAACAGAGCGCTACTGTGGCGTAAGGAGGAAGTGTGCGTCCAGAGCTGAGGAGAGAAACCAGCTGCACACTGTGACTGCAGTCTGCAGCAGTATCACAGTTTCATTCGATTCGATTCAGCATCCACCAGTTTCCCACTGCTGCAGTCACCACCAGCTGCACATGGGCACCCTGGGGAATGCCCCACCCTGACCTCCACCTTTTGCTTCTCTTCTAACATTTCCAGCATGCTCCAACCATGACCTCAGCATGGAGAAACATCCTGTGTGGTAACAGCAATAGATGCCACAGCCTAAGGACAGACGGGCCTTGTTTGTCCAGCACATCTCACAGATGCTCGATGAGATCTGCCGAAGGTGACACCTCAAACCCTTCCTGATCTACTTGTGCTTTGTGTGAAGACTCCAGCGACACTCGAAGTATTAGTGAACAGCTGTACTCAGTGACCAACGCCTTTTGGGTCATTGCAAAATGTCAAACAGTTTGTGTTTAAATAAAAAAAACTGGAAACAGAAAAAGATCCAAGTGGACCAATCACACCTTCACAGGTAAACGCAATGACCCTGATGAAGGCCACTAACACGTTATTGTTCCCTAATACTCTGTCACTGGAGTCTTCACCTCATCAGATCTTTGCCTTCTCCGTGCACCTTGGAGGTGAAGTTGCTGTCTGCTTGTGTTTTGTGACATTATCCTAATGAAGTGTTGCAGACGTGTCTGTGTGCACAGCATTACTCCTGTACTTTCATGAACGGACTACAGCTTAATGATCGTCTCCGACCGAGACCTTTGGAGTCACGGAAAGTGGACCGTTTGGTTTGAGCGGTCACAGCTGAGGCACAAACTCACTCTTCTAAGAAGTTTTTCTGTGGACCGATGATAGATCCAGGTCTGCAGATTCTGATCCAAACAATCGCCTCGGCTGCAGTAAACCGGAAGTGCTTCATCAGGTAGCAGCCAATCAGAGTCCCCGTGCGGCCTAATCCAGCTGTAAATGGACGGAGTGTTTAAAGAGACAAAGTTAAGATAAAAGAAATAAATGACATCAATTAAACATACATAAACACTTGCAGTCCTACCTTTACAGTGCACTGCCACTGCCCCGTCTGTACATTCACACACATGCAGAAAGCATCTGACGATGAGGTCAGAGGGCGTGGTCCCATCAAGAAAGAAGAGGTCGTGGTGCTCAAATCCTGCATCCTCAAACCGCCTGCCATCATACAACTTCCTGTTCAGACGAACCACGGTCGTTACGTCATTTTGGTAAAAGTATGAGAAGTATGCCTCGGGTGTGTGGAGGGGATAACCTGGAGACAGAGTCAACAACAGCTGAGTTACGTCATACGTTTCAATCAGCGAGCGTCTGTTTTTAATGCAAACGTAAAATAAGATTCAATGACGTAGTGTCAGCTGATTTATATTGTAAGGTAAAGACGTTAAATACAGAGAAAACCCCAACCATCGAAGGGCCCCAAGCACCTGCTGACAGTGGAAAAGAAAAACTCCCTTTTAACAAGAACCAGGCTAAGGGAGGGGGGGCAATCTGCCACATATGGTCGGGGTGAGGGGAGGACAACAGGACAAGAGATGGACTGGAAGAGAGCCAGAGGTGAATAATAACTACGTGCAAAGTGGTGTAAATACACAAAGTAAAAAGAGCTGAGGGATGGAGAAGCATGAGTGCATCATGGGAAACCCCGAGCCACTGCAGGGTTCAGGCTCGTCTAATCCAGCCGTAACAACACGACAGCACTAAGCAGGAAACAATGCACGCCGTCAGAAGACAGCAGGGTAAGGTTAGCTCTTCTCAGCTGCTTCAGGACGTGCAGGCACTGAGGGGCTGCACAGGCCTTCTGTCAGCCAAGCAACGTGAGCACTGGTGTTGGTTTGGAGGCATTCTGACTCACCATTTTCTATCTTACCACGAGAATGAGGGCTACTGAACGATCCAGTTCATATCTCCATTTTCAACTCGCTAAAAGCACAAAAAGAAAGGAAAGGAAGACTGTGATAGAGGTTAGCGACATATCAGTTAAAAACATTGGCTCCAGAACACCTTAATTATACCACCACTGCAGTAATGAGGGATTAATAAAGTTCTATCTTATCTTATCTTATCTTACATACGGTCTGTTTTGGGGGGCTGTTACCTTTCATTGGAAATCAGTTTTGTTGCAGTGGACACAGGTGAGCTGACCTTTACTTCACTGACTGTCTATCACTTGGACGGGTGAGTTATGGATCAATCTAACTGAGAAACTGAGGAAGTACAGCGTGCACCAAGGCAGGCCTGGACATCGTACGAGCTCTTGGTTGGCCCTGACTGTGTTACTAACAGCACTGCAAATAAACTGGATGAATAACAAGCTATTTAATTTAAGAAATAATTAGTTATTTCTTCCTGTATCCTGGTCCTGTTTGCATTGATATCGACCTGTAGCACAGTCTCTGCAGTCTGTTACCTCATAATGTTCATATTCTTCTGCACTGAACCTTTCAAAATCCAGGAAACCATGTTGTAATGCCTGCAGAGGAAAAGAGCAGAAACAGATTTTCACAACAAAAGCACTCAGAGCATACAACTCTGCAGTGGTTTCACAGATTCAGTTCAGTTTTTCTTAGCATCCATCAT